TATATATATATATAAAGTCTATGAGGAGGATAAGGAGTTTCACCCAGAAGGATCAAATATCACTTCTAAGCTAACTGATAAGAAAATGAGATCATGTTCATGGATCCAGTTTTTACATTAGTCCATGTATATGTTTGGGTCTGAACAGGAAAACAGAACCCACTCCAAGCATTTCAACAGAAAGTATTTAATACAGGGAATTGGTTAGACAGCTGCTGGAGGGCTGAAAAGACAAAAAGGGAACATCTGAGGTAACCCAGAGCTAGCACTCACAGTTTGAAGCTACTAGCCCTAAGACTGAGGGAAAAAAGAGAGAGACTAAAGGAGGCACTTCATGGAGCCAGGCTCCGACCTCTGGAAGAGGCAAAACCTGGCTGCTATTGATACCACTGAAAGAGCAAAATGAGGCTGGGCAGTCCAAAAGAAACTAGAATCTAGAACCAACTGCTACCACTGAGGCAAAGGGGACTACTGTGACCAACACAACAAGCAAACAGGAAGAAGGTGGTCATGTCTCCACTCCTACCTTCCAACTTCTCTCTAGTGCCCCCTATTGGCAGAACCTAACAAGATGCCGACTGGTAAAGGAGAAAAAGATTACACAGACATCCAGCACCAGCAACACAGAGTAAAGAAAGTTGGATTTGGAGCTGAGTGACAAAAATATAATAACCAACACAGTCTGCTTTTAAATTATATTTCCAACTTGAATTATTTCTTTTCTTAACAAGTTACCAGACAATTCTCTTTTCCTTTTTTTTAAGAGAAAAAAATTTTATTGCAATATAAAATGCACTTATAAAATGTCCATAGAAGGCATGTAATTCTTTACTGCTATATAAATTTACTGGGAATATCTTATTCATCTTTGATTGTTATGATGTCACCTAAAACCTACTGTAAACACTGAGTTATACTCTATAGCAAATGCATCACTGATTTTCAGCAATCTTGGTTTAATAATAAAGACTATATAATCACATCTATATTCTGAAATGTCCATTTACTTTCATGTAGTGTAAAATTTAGACTATAATTGCACATGAATGGTACAAAAAGACATTCACTACCAAATTATTTTATACCTTCATGACAGGTTTAGC